TTCTGCATAGACACAGATATAGTCGGACTTCGTATAAAGGGCAAAGATGGGTCCAGAAAAGGGCAGGCGGCACTCCTAGTCCTAGATTCAGCCGTCCCCGGTGACCGGCTGATCACTAACTTAGGTCGTGTCGTGTGCTTCCGTGGTGCCATTTCAAAAAAAAAATAAAAAGAAAAATTAAGAGTAAGAGAACTGAGTTACCTGAACGAGTGACGGTCGATGAAGTTCTGGAAATCCGGGTCAGTCGGCTTGTCAGAACAGGCGGTAGGCAGAAAATGTCCGAAATGTCAGAGCAAGTTCAGGGGTCCGAATGTTCTCGCAAAGTTCTCAAATGTGAAAATGACCGAAGTCAGCACTTCCTTATATAGGCGAAGTGAGAAGGCGAAGGGTCGCTTCCAAATTCAAAATGTGGGCGGGAAAATCTCTCGGCCGTTTGCAAGGTGACACCTGTAGCAGGCCGTCGCCTCTCACCATGCGACACCTGTCACAGGCGACACGTGACCAGTCACGTGCCACCTGTGAGGGGCAAATGATTAGGGGATTTTTATCCTCCAATCACCGTCTGACAAGTGGACCAACCAGGTTCCGCCACGTGTCCTTCACGTAGGCCAATAGGAGCCTGCCACGTGTCAATCACAGATACGTCCTCTGCGGACCAATTGAGACACGCCATGTGTCCGCCCATGCCAAATGGGAAAACCGGCCACCAAGGCCCAATCCTGTTTAGAGGCCCGGTCAGCCCTAGGTTTACCCTAAACCTAGAGAGTGGCACGCTTCTCAAGACTATAAATACTCCTCTTAATCCTCATTAAGAGGAGGACAGAAGAAGGAGAATCAGAGAGAGAAAAAAGTGACAGAACACTAATCACTCACGGATTATACATTAAACACTCTCACCTAGAGAGACCTCATTACTTTAATTTCCGTAATCATTACTCCTTAATCAGGTACTAACTTGACCGTTGGAGGCGGAGCTCTCAGGAGTCTCCGTTATTTTGCAGGTACAGGCGTCCGGTTCTAGTCTCGGAATTGTAACTCTCCCGCAGGACATCAGAAAACCCCGAAACAATTAGTACTTTAAAATCAAGTGTCATTGATACGTATATTACCCGGGGACATTTTTTTTAACAAGTACCATTAGTACTTTAAAATTAAGTGTCGTTGATACTTATATTAATTGGGAACATTTTTGTTTTGACAAGTACCATTAGTACTTTAAAATCAACTAAGTAAACTATTTTATACCATTAATACTTTATACGAGTAATCAGTTAAGATAGTCGTTAATACTTTAAAATCAACTAAGATAGTTGATATCTCGACATCTATTAAATCAAAGTCGCTCACACATATCTTCTCCTTTATTATAAACTAGGGTGTTTTGCCCGCGCTTTGCGCGCGTTGCTAGTTGGAACTTTAGTGTGTAATTCTTGTCTTGAGGTGTGGCAATGTGGGGGTTTTTTTTTTTTTTTTTTTTTCAAGGAGGTAATGAGTTTGAAAAGAAATTCATGTGTTGGGTGCTTGTTACATATGTGTATATAGTATTGTTGATCATGGGTAAATTCAGCATAACCTTGTTCATAAGCGCGCGTGCTAGCTGGAGTTTTAGTTTGTAAATGTTTTCTCAGTTTTTTACTGATGTGAGATTTTTTTTTTTTTAAGTTAATATTTTTGTAAATATGTGTATACGAATGAGAATTATAGAGAATTGTATTTGTTATTGTAAATGAATATAGTATGAGGACATTACTAGTTTTTTTTTTTTTTTTTTTTTTGGACGGGAGAGGACATTACTTAGCCTTGTTTTGATAAGAAGTAAAGTTGTTTTTTTATATATATAGTTGTCATTTGTAGTGAGAGGCCAAAAAACGAATTTGGTCCTTTAGAAAAAAAAAGTGTGTTTATAATATCTTGCGTGATTTCTAGGAAGCTCCCATGCCTCACAATGAGCGTCTTAAAAATATAGTTGTAAGTACTTAGGTCCTCCATCAGGAGGTATTAAATTAGGCAAGTAATGATAAATTTGCCCAATTATCATGCCATTCTGCTAAGATAATTGGCCGATTATCTGAAGTGATTTCTTAAGTGGTCTCTTGATTTTCTTATGTGATCTTAATTTTCTTAAGTGATCTTTCTTTTTTAGTGTATTCTTCTTTTTTGAAAACTTTCTTAAGTGGTACTCTCTCTTGTTCTAGCATTTAGTAACTCTTTTTCCTAAGCTAATTTCTTTTTTAAGTGATCAAGCATCTAGCATTTAGTAACTCTTTTTCCTAAGCTAATTTCTTTTTTAAGTGATCTTTCTTAAGTTGTCTTTTCTTTTTTATGTTAAGTGACCTTTATTAAGTGGTCTATCTCAATGATCTTTCGTAAGTGGCCTCTCTCTCTCTCTTTTTTTTTTTGACGGAATAAGTGGCCTCTCTCTCTCTTTTATTTTGACGGAATAAGTGGCCTCTCTCTCTCTCTAGTCTATTAATAGGTTGTTTCTTAAGCAATAATTTTCTTGATTTTCTTAAGTCGTTAGTTAGTTTTACTTCTTATAAAACAATGGTTTCAACAATTGTTTACTGTAATTGATTTAAGTTTATCCATGCTATGGAAATTCTGAATTGATCGGACAAAATATGATTTGGAATATAACAAATGTAATCTATTTGGGTTTGACGTCGACTAATATTAAGTTGACATGATTTTAAATTGGTTTGTGTCTAACTTGATATGAATTTACTTAGACTATGATAGGCTCGTGGTATTAAATATTTGAAAAATGTTACTTGTTTTAAGAATGGTTTTGTAAATAATAAAAAGGAACACCTTAAACGGTTTCTTTCTTTCTTACCCTCTCCTAAGCTAATTGCCGTAAGATTCTCTCCTAAACTAATTTTCCTAATTGCCCTAAATTTCTCCCCTAAGCTAATTGTGTGCCTTGATTTTCTTAAGTTATCATTCTTTTCTTCAGTATCATTCTTCTTCTACTTGAGTGATTTTTCATCTTAAGTGATATTCATAAGTGGTCTCTCTATCTTTTTTGCATTTTAGTAACTTTTTACTTTTTTAAGTGATATTTCTTAAGTTGTCTTTCATTTTTTATGTTAAGGGACCTTTCTTAAGTGGTCTATCTCAATAATATTAAATAAGTGGTCTCTCTCTCTCTTTCTAGTGTATTAATAGGCTGCTTCATAAGCTAATGCCCTGATTCTCTCTCTCTCTCTCTCTCTCTCTCTCTCTCTCTCTCTCTCTCTCTCTCTCTCTCTCTCTCTCTCTCTTTAGAAAGCCTTTTCCTAAGCTAATTGTTTTTTTCTAAGCTAATTGCCCTAATTTTTGTAAATGATCTTTCCTAAGTGACCTCTCTCTTTCTCTCTCACTTCTAAGCTAATATCCTTTAGTTTTTGTATGTGATCATTCTTAATTCGTCTCTCACCTCTCTAAAGCCAATTGACCAGTTTTCATAAATGATTTTTCTAAAGTGGCTTCTTTCTCTTTTTCTCTCTTAAGATAATTGGCTTGATTTTTCTGAAGTGAATTTTTGAGTCGCCTTTTTTTTTCTCTCGCATTTTAGTAAGCCTTTTTCTTAAGCTAACTGCTTTTTTATAAGCTACTCGTCCTAACTTTCTTAGGTGATGGCTCTTTCTTAATTAAGTTGTCTCTCTCACTCATGGTTTCTTTCTTTCCCTCTACTAAGCTAATTGCCCTAAGTTTCTCTCCTAAACTAATTTTCCTTAATTGCCCTAAATTTCTCTCCTAAACAAATTGTGTGTCCTGATTGTCTTAAGTTATCATTCTTTTTCTTTAGTAATCTTAGCTTAATTTCTTCTTCTTCTTGAGTGATTTTTCTTCTTAAGTGATATTTTTTAAGTGGTCTCTTTTTCTTTTTAGCATTTTAGTAACTTTTTTCTTTTTTTAAGTGATCTTTCTTAAGTTGTCTTTCCTTTTTTATGTTAAGGGACCTTTCTTAAGTGGTCTATCTCAATAATCTTAAATTAATGGCCTCTCTTTCTTTCTAATGTATTAATAGGCTGCTTCATAAGCTAATTACCCTGATTCTCTCTCTCTCTCTCTCCCTCTCTCTCTCTTCTCTCTCACACACACACACACACATTTTAGAAAGCCTTTTCCTAAGTTAATTGCCCTAATTTTTGTAAATGATCTTTCCTAAGTGACCCCTCTCTTTCTCTCTCACTTCTAAGCTAATATCCTTTAGTTTTTGTATGTGATCATTCTTAATTCGTTTCTCACCTCTCCAAAGCCAACTGACCATTTTTCATAAATGATTTTTCTAAAGTGGCTTCTTTCTCTTTTTCTCTCTTAAGATAATTCTCTTGATTTTCTTAAGTGAATTTTTTAGTAGTCTCTTTTTCTCTCACATTTTAGTAATCCCTTTTCTTAAGCTAAAGGCGTTTTTATAAGCTACTCGTCCTAACTTTCTTAGTGATGGATCTTTCTTAATTAAGTTGTCTCTCATGGTTCTTTCTTTCCCTCTCCTAAGCTATTGCCTTAAGTTTCTCTCCTAAACTAATTTTCTTTAATTGCCCTAAGTTTCTCTCCTAAAACTAATTGCGTGCCCTGATCGTCTTAACTATCCATTACAGTTGACATTAATAGGATAATGTAATAAATATTATTGTTTAATAATAAAAACAATTTAGTCTAGAAATTGATTAAAATAATACGAAGAATATATAAAAATTAATATAGACTATTAACAACATTTGAGAAGTGATGTAATGTTATACATATGTTTAAAAAAAAATTAGAAATTAATGAGAATATAAATTAAAACATTACAGAGAATGGAAGATTTTGGTTGCCAATGTCTGAAAGTCACTCAAGTAAGTTCACTTAAATAATGTTATACATATGTTTCAAAAAAAAAAATGTTATACATACATCTTATATGTTTACATCAGCTTAAATTTTAATTGATACTTCTTCAAAAATATAAAAAAAAAGTTAAAATTGATACAAACAATCCTAACAATCAATGGAACTTTCACTCAAGCAAAAAAACAGTAAGTGATTTTGACGAATTTGACCATTTCAAGCTAGTTCTATATGCCCTTTTTTTTTGGCATCCTCAAACAGATGATTAGTATAGCATTCTAGAAAGGTGCTACAATACCAGAAGGTGCAGAATATATTCCTCTAGATCTTCATGGTTATAGCTGGAGAATGACAGCAAATTCATAGCAATCAGCATCCATAGAATGATGTGCTTTCACAAGATTCAATATTACAATACCAAATAGATTAATCTCAATAGGAGATTCATGTACATAATTAACTTCTATTGCTTTTACGTTCATCTAATGTGAGCGCAGGAGGTCTCACTACTTCTGTTTTATTAGGTGCATCTGACGATTCGTGCACAAGAGTTACAGTTACCTCTACTGCCGATCTATTAAGTTCATCTGTTTGATGCTTCATCTGGCTCTGACAGTGCGAAAACTCTTTTGCTTGTCCCTGTCTCAATGACAAGATCACAAATAAAGAAAAACTTTGATTCTACACTCCTATCACACTTCATGCAAGATTGCAACGTCACATATTACCAGGGAAACGGCAGGAGAGACAGCAGACCACTAAGGGCAGGATTTCACAAGTTAGTGATGTAAATAAAAGACATGAAATCTATACCCAGCCATTGGCCATGGACCAAGAATAAATTAAGAGCCATTCACCCTATGTGCACCCACCCTGCCCCATATACCCACCTTCTCAAACCTGTCACCCACCCGGTAAAATCAAGTTATACTCCCTCTACTTACAAATCAACATCTTATATATGCCATATTCATCCCAATTTTATCAAGTGATGTGCGTCTTAAAAAAAAAGGTTTATCTTTCTTTTACACTACAGTCTACACTGTCAATATAATAATTTCCTTTTTACACTATCTATCTAAAGCCTTACCCCTCCATTTTTAAATTTTAAATCTTTGAGCCAAAAACCCTTAGGAGAATTTTATTAGTAAATAGAGTGAGTAGTCAGTACAACTACTCAATATATTTTGCATGAGCCTTAACCTTAAAATCCTTTGAAATCATTTCCTAAGCAATCAAAGAAGTGAATGACATCAAGATCATAGTGATTGAGCTACAACTATGGCTACTAAATATGGCATTCGGTTCACACCTAATATACAAAAATGTAGTCATTGGCTTCCAAAGACGGCTATACAAAAATTTAGACGTACGGTTTAGGTATTAACAGCCAAATTAAGAAATGGTAGCAAAAGAAACTTACAATTTCGAGAGATTCAAACAAAGCAGCCATTGCAGCATTGGTAGTGTTGGCGGGTTTCTTGTTTTTCTGACACAGATTTTGGAGATCCCTTCAACTGAAGCTGTGGAAGTCCACCTTCTTACTGTCATTCAACATCTCAGTAACCTCTTCTTGTGCGTCAAAATCAATGACTTTTTTCCCATCATTGACTTGCTACTCTACCTCCTTCTGGGGTTCACCACTTTGTCCTTTAAATTCAACACTTATTCCCGAAACCACTTCTGAAATTTCCTTAATCTAACCTCCCACACAAGAAGTAGAAACAAAATTTCAAAAATCAAAAACAGGGAATAACATCCAAATTAAAATTCTGAAAAACCATTACCAAGAAGCACACTGTTGTCAATAACGCGAGCATGAACCTCTTGACAACATAACGACGGCAACAAGAAGTATAATTGAAACCAAAATCAAACTCAATACCTGAAAATTGTTGTACTCTCACTACAAAAAAAAAACATAATAACTCCATAAATATTACAATACTTAAGCATTGTAGAGAAGAAAACAAAATATAATTTTGATAATTATAGAGAGGAGTTGGCAATTGGCAACTAAGTAGCAAGATTGTGTTATAACCACATCCCATCAAATTGAAAAGGCAATCAACTTGATAGTTACGGCGTCATTAAATCAAAGTCCAGCAAAAGATGCAATAAACCAATACAAGCAAATATTAAATGCTTTAAATTCTATTAAAAATAACTTGAGAGGCAACTACAAAGACAAGAAAATGAAAAGCACATAGTTGTATCAGTCAAAACAGCCATCTTAAGCTACAGGATGCGATTGCAAACCTTATTGTAATATGTCCTTGTTGTAATACCATTGTTGCCAATGGTGTAAATATATTATTCAATTCGTGAATTGTAGAATCCACATTCTGAAGTGATTCAGCTCTGCTCTGCATACAAGTTTCTTGTAATGGAACCATCTGTTGCTGCTGTTGATTCTGTTGTTGCAACAATGGCTGAGATTCCCTAACAGCTAATTTTCTGCAAAATTAAAGATCAATGAAGTCAACACCTTTACTAAAGGAAACAAATGCCATTATAATTACAAGCTACTAAAAGACATAATTTGCCAACAAAAAATATTATTACTCAAATATATATAATCCCAAGAACGATTTGCTCCTCGTATTCTCACTTTCAAACCATCATATTCAACAAAGTAAGAAAGTTTCAAAGGTTAGATTAGAGTTGAAAAAAATATAGAAAATTATCACTTCAATCAATGCCTCAATTTTTTACACCCATTGAAAAAACAAAGAGCTAAAACTCTAAGAGCTCACTCAATCTGTCAATCATAAGGTTGAAGGTTGCATAGGATATCATTGTCTTAGTATAGAATATGTTATTTTTACTTCTAAATATAAATGTCAAAGGTAAAATTTTCACAATCAATTACAATTGTAACAATTAAAACTCTACCTGAGGTTATTGATTTCCCAGTGCATCCCCTTTTCACCCTTAGCCGACCCCTTTGTATCGCCCTATTAAAATTCACAACCACCAAACTCAAAGTAAGCAAAATTAACTATCAAATCATTTCACGGACATAGATACCCAGATGAATCAAAAGGGCGAAAAATCCTCAACAGTTAGATTTTTCAATCAAATTTGAGAAAATTTATTAAGAAAAGTAACCAGAAAAACATAGCACAAAAAGGATTGTGGTTTTCTACGAAAATTAAAGCTATATCCTAGATTGTCCAAAGATATTGGTGATTAGAAAAAGGATAAACATCTTACCTCAAGAAGCTGGTTTAATGGAGGAGATTAAGCTCATAACACGCTGAAAGCCTTCAATGGATAATAAACCCTAGAAATAGCCCAATTTATTTAATAGTTCAATTATTCACATTGGAAGAACCCTAAATTGAGTATACTGTAAAATTAAATTGAAAATTAATACGAAATTTTGATTTTAATGGGGACGAAATTAGGGATTGAAATTGGGTAAACTTGCAAACAAATTGAAATATTTACTCACCTAAAATCGTCAATATCCCAAATCCCAACTAAGTAAAACCAGAAAAGCCGAAAAATCAAAAGAATTTTAAAACCCTAGAAATAGTTAATTTCAAAAAATGAAACAAAACCCATAGTAGTTATTTTTACCCTCCCAGGGAAGGGCACTTGATTGACCAGAAGAAAGGTTTACTTCTTCCCCCTTATGCTATGGAGGTCGTTAGCGCTACCAATCTATTTCTTCTTCTGCTTGTCCGCTATCTTTAAAAATGCCTTCTGCCAGTATGAGTGAGCGTCTTTTCCCAGCTCCCGGTCTTTATGATTTCCTTGCCTTACTACCGAGATAACGTGCCTAAGTAGCATAACCATGATCTTACGAATTTAAAGATCTCAAAATGGAAGAACGAGTTCTTTTGCTGGCCCCTCTCTCTAAAGGGGCGTAAGCACTTCACTCGCTAGGGAATGAAATTGATTCACTTGCATTCTTGCTAGCACTACAAAAAGCTCCGGTCTTAACGCCCCTACTACTGCTGTGCAGCCTTTCCTCGGGTTCGTAGAGTCGGGTTTCCCGTTTACCCACAACGGAGGAGCCGCCCCCACCGGGCAGGCGGCCACGGGTCATAACGCACTCTTCGCACAAAAGTCTGGCAAAGCTTCTAGAAGGCCGACCACTACATAGGAGCGATAGCGAAGCCAAGCCAGTACGGTACCAATGCTTTATTTCTAATAAGAACCATCCCCTCGCTCAGTCCAATTGGTTCTCTATCTTTATGGTATTCGTCGTCCTTTGACCGCACCATATTCACCTCAACAAAATGGTGTTGCCGAAAGACGCACAATCCTTAACATGGCACACAACTCCGGCGGGGGTCTTTCTCTACAGCTATAGAATCGGCTTAATTATTAATTACCGAAAAGCTACCTTTCCAAGAGTCAGGAGAGCCCGCGAGTTACCGAAATTAGAAATATATTGTTGATAGAGTTCGGGATAGATTGAGTGGATGGAAAATCAACCAGCTTTCCGTGGCGGGCCGAAATGACTGACTGAGTAAGGGTGATTCGGCCCTACCCACGTATACAATGCAAACGACTGAAAGAATGTCGTAAGTGGTGAACGAAGTTGACTCGCTCGTTAGAGGAAGTGATCGCAAATTCGAGTTATCTTAGGAGAAGTGAATTCAAAGTTCCTTCACATCTGTGCATGCTTTCCGAGTGAAGCGTTGTCATCGATTGAATTGGCCAAGGAAGAAAGCTCCACCGTACAGTCAGTCCGAGGTGTTTAGCTGCGAGATTCTCCTTCGACACCTAAGACTTGGAATTTGCGAGACTGGCGATTTCCGTGATCAATTGTCCTGGTCGGTTTTCTAGATTGGCTTTATGTTCCGTGTGTGTTATGGATTAGCAGAATGGGCGAAGTAAAGGCAAAGATCGAGAAAGCTGGTCATTCGGCAGCTCACTGGTGAATCTAGGGTACCAAGTTGGAAGGTAGCCCTGTGCCAAAGAAAGTACCAATCCCAGCGTTGGACGAAGATCGGTCCCCTCTCAGACTTCCGTCGTCATGATAAGCTTGATGAATAATTCGCTTTAGTCTCTTCCTTCAGCCTAAGGTCGCATGCGCTAGGATCTACATGCACCCATTTATATCAAGGGATGACTGCTACTACACAGACACAGACTCTATCGTTCTTGCCAATCCTCTTCCAGAGGGCTTAATATCTTCCAAAGACTTAGGGAGGCGAAAGGCCATGGGGAGATACCGTCTGTGATCCATGGATCTCCGATCGGGAAACCGTATCCAAGCTCCGTGGCTAGTCTGCGCTCTTTGGACTTTTCAAACTTAGCGAACTGAAACATCTGAGTAGCTAAAGGAAGGGAAATCAACCGAGACCCCGTTAGTAGCGGCGAGCGAGAGCGGATTGGGGGTTTGAAGAAAAACAAACACGAATAAAAACCTCAGCAAAGTGTTCACTTCTTTTTCGCCAATCTTGAGAGGCAGAAACCCGTATGATAGGCTAGGAGTGCTAAAAAACTCTATTGAGAAAAGTACACCACCACTTTTAGAGTAGTCTTCCGCGGACGAGTTTGATGGGCTCGGAAGAGGAAGTGGTTGACCTAGTACACCTAAGACACCAAAGAACGAGAATAAGTCGGTGAAGACCATACCAAACTTATAAGAAAAGTAAATTATAAGTCTTTTTCCATTTAGTGTTTAAGTTGCGTTTACTACAAAAGGGCTGAGCCCGGATCTCATTAGCTTGTCCCAACCGGAGGGACTAGAAGGGGGAAATAGCCAGGCGCCAGAGAACAAGCTCGCTCTCACTACTTATGGATAGACGTGGGTAGGATAATAGGCTGGCCTCCCTTATACGTTAGACGATACCACCCCCTAACTCTTCTTTCCCCGCAGGCGCTGCAGCTAAAGCAGGTTAGGCAGATGCCGACAACGTTGGAAAGCATGTTTCAAGTAAGTCCTAACATTTTTTATCTACGAAAGGAGTCTAGCCCCAAGGGCACCATGAAGACAACCCACCGCTGGAACTTGCTTTGCTCTCGCTCCGCTCGTTCCCACCTGTCTTCTTCCCGCTAGAGTGAAAGAGGTTTTTCACTTCCTTCACCCTAGCGAAAAAGTAAGAAAAAGATTAGAAAGATAAGAATACGGCTTATAAAAACAGTAGTTAAAGGAACAAGTAAGATAGGAGTAGGAAGAATAGGAGGTATATAAACAGCATAGGAATAGTAGCTAATCAGGTATAGTTGTTTCATAATAGCTTAAACATGGAATTGTTTCAAATTGAGATACCGTTTACGAAGGGGAATTGACTTACGTCGTTTTACAGTATGGCGGAGTTGAACTAAATCACGTTGGCTTTGAAGCAGCTGCATGGTACTGGCATTTTGTAGACGTGGTTTGGTTATTCTTATTTGTCTCTATCTATTGGTGGGGAGGTATATGAAGGAACGAATCAGTGGTGAGGGCTTTTATTCGGCTTTACTTAGACCACCCCTTCGGGGGAAGTATCCGCTCTCTTTCTAACTAGAACAACCGAGCTCAGTAGCTTCCAACACCTTAACGACAAGCAAGGAAGCAGAACCTACTTCGCTGCTCGAAAACACCCAGTGCTGACCACACTGAGAGACGCGAACGCGCAGGTAACGCCAGTTGGCGAAGTGGCGTTAAGCATCCCTAGCGGTACGAAAAGAGAGGTCGTGATGATATCATCTACGTCCGTACCGCTCCTCGCAAGTCAACTACCTTGCGCTTAGTTAGTAGAATTCTTCTAATTCCTCTAAGGTTATGAAATTGCTTAGCCGAACTATAGAGGCTAAAGGGTAAGGCGAATAGAAAGCTTCAATTTCTTGTTACATAGAGCAAAGGTCTACTGATCATTGGCAAATCTATTATATAAGATTTCATTCAACGAGTCCCTCTAAACTTTTCCTTGGCAGCTGCTCTCGCTTCGTGGCTTGCAGGGCCTGAATCGAATGCTCGAATGACAAAAGAAAGAAAAAGAGCATTTGATCCTAAGGTAGTTACTACTTGCTTACTTAAAAAAAAAAGTAAGGGCTTTTGTCAGCCTTAGACTGCGTCTTCAGATACATCTATTGGCCATTCCTCATCAGATTCTCTAAGACAATACCCTTGAGAAGATTCTGAAGCTTGAGAACCCCAAGAAGCTGAAAGAGAAAGCTCTGAACCTGAGAGGAGGAAGAGGCAGAGGACGTTGGTAGGCTCCATGGCGATGAGGAAAGTGAAGATGAGAGATACCGTCAAGATGAGAGTGAGAAGTGCGGAGGAGAGAGAAAGAGTGTGCAGAAAGGAAAACCAAATACCCATGTGCACATATAAAATATTTTGAGGGCAAATCAGGAACACACTGTAGATAAGGAAATGCAAGCACAAATCTGGGGGTAATATAGTCAGCGCACTCTTCATAAGGAGAGCAATTCTAATTTTTGCTCCCCGGCTTTTATAGGGTAGGATACAAACACCCCTTTTCCCTCACTCTTTCACTCTCTCTCTCCCCTCTCTCTACAAAATGAAGAGTAACTTCATTTCAAGTATTCTTCTTCTTCTCCTTCTTGTGGCAAATGTTGTTATCCTCGTAGCGAACGCGGGCGACGACGAGGAGTTATCGAGTGCGGTACAACGACACAGGAATCGCAAGCCGAAGAGAAGAGGGCGGAGAAACGGCTGTAACATCTTCAAAGGAAGTTGGGTTTATGATAGATCATACCCATTGAATGATGCAAATAGTTGTCCATTTTATTGGAGACGGATTTAATTGCCAAAAGAATGGAAGACCTGATAAAGATTATCTTAAGTATAGATGGCACCCTTCTGGTTGTAATCTTCAAAGGTACTTAACTTTCCTTCAATCGTTGTTCTGTTTTTATTTTAATAATAGTAATTAATTATAGTGATATTAATTATTAATGGTAATGTGGTTAGTTTATAAAACACAATTTGCATGACATTTTAGTTGGTTATAATGTACCCGTTATAATAAGTTTGGTGATAAAGACGATTGTTTAATTGAAACGTTCTGTTCGGAATTTATAGTCACATACATTGTTCAATTTGTTCACACTCACGGGTACCTTCCATTTAAGTAGGTAATATATAATTGATAAATCGTGATTATTGATTCCGGGCGGAGTGAATATGAGATATGAGATCGGTGTAGATCGTGGACAGAGTGGGTTTGTTGGTATTGAGAAATTAGGAGGATGGGCTGGAGGATGGAGAAATATGACCGTTGTACATAAATATAATAAAAAATAAAAATACAATAAATAAATAAAAAATAACCGTTGATTATGTCGTATGAATTTTGCTACCCGGCATTTTAATGAAATGGGGTAATTATTATTATTATTATTATTATTATTATTATTATTATTATTATTATTATTATTATTATTATTATTATTATTATTATATCTCAAAAACAAAAGTCATACAACCTATAATAAATTAGTGGGAAGACGAGATACAATTTGGGCCCTCACTCCTCTAGCTATAGCAAATCCTACCCTAGTGAAGATATGAGCTGCAGCACGAGCCCCAATGTCTTGCGTCGTCGAGAACCTCTGAATCCGCTTCAGTAACGCAACAGCCTCCTTCTCTAATTCCCCAAGCGAAGAAAAGGAGAAGGGAATGAAACCATATCCAATCGCCTGACATCGAGCTTCATACTTATCCCGCTTCCGATGAGCAGCATCAGCCACAACCCGCCCAGGAATAAAGTCAGATAGCCCTGACTGTGTCAAAGGAGAAGACCCTGTCAAATCAACACAGACATCGCGACCACGATCCCATGAATAAAGTAACACATCCGCAGGTCTGAGGGCCTCGTCGTTCCCTTCAGCCAACCCAATGTCAACCTCCTTTCTCGCTGAAATCCCAGAACGATAGCAAACATCAACAAGGGTATCCCGAACAACATTATGCCGATGTTTAATACCCACAATACCAGCACAAGACACCGCGTGATCACCGAAAATATCTCCAGCAAAAACCCTCGAACAAGCAGAGCACGACGTCGACACAGAGAACAATGGAACACCCAACCGATAGGACAACACACAGCGATAAGTCTTAGCGTTCATCGTCTGACCCAACCCCGAAATAGG